CATATCGATTATTATGTTGAGAAGTGAATCAGGTTAATGAAAACCTTGTGAAAAATTGGGTTTAAGAATCCCCGTGAATCCAGTCACGACTTGGACTAGTTATTGTGTTGGTTAATGCCCTTGACTTTCGAAAATGAATTCGAAAAATTTGTTCTGGTTTTTAGAAAGCTCGAGCTTTCTTTAAAATCAAAGTGGAGTATTACAACTTTTGCAGCGGTTCTCTTGAATATCTGATCGAAATTGCTGCTACTTTGAATCATTTAATAGTTGCTGCCTCTTTTACGAATTCATTGGCGTTCATTATTCCAAAATTGGGGCAAGATATTTGGATATGCTTGTGGACCTGGGCCAAAATTGGGGCACGTGTTCCTTATAGCAAATTACTTTATAATCGATATAGGTACAGTATAGGTACATAATACATGTTTTTATCTCTCTATTATTTTATGATCAGTATATGTACAGTATATGTACATAATTTTTTATGAAAGACATATTTTTCATTGCAACATATACAGAATATATACTAACATAAACACAGTATATACCCACCTGCACAACTGCGTGAGTTACTTTAGGCATTAATATAGATAAATAAGTCTTTTGCCCAGCTAAGCCCTTTTGAGCTACTGGTTTGAGTTGAGCTTCACCTTTGAGCCACGTACCGAGGACTTTTCAGAAGGACTTGGCCAAGTTAGAGCAACTCAGCGCCCCTATAGATTCAAGTATTGAACGAAGTGAAAAAAAATACGATCTTTGTTGTCTAATAGAACAAACACTAATACCTTAATTAAATCGGTTAAGATCAAATCTGTTTATCGAAGTGAGTTCCACTGTGCCGAGATGTGAGGTGCAGGTGGTGATGATCACCCCGGGGTATGCGCGGGAGCCCTTGACAGGCACTCCAGAACCCGCCAATGTGTGGTTTATTTTTTAGTAAAACTGTTCACAAAGCATAAAAGTAAAATAAACAATACGTAAACTCAACATATACTAAAAAACATTTAAAAACTAATTTAAAACAAGCGTAAACTGATTTTTATATATATATATCTATAGTTTATATTCAGTATATTTTCGGTATATGGATGATTTATATTTAGTAAAATCATGGAAAATACATACAATAAATATACCAAAAAATTTTAATGGTTTATTTTATGTATATATATTAATGTGTATGTAGACAAAAGATTTTGTGCGTGTGTAAAATCACATTCCAAGTTGCATAAAGGTGAGGCAGAAATTTTTTTAATATGATTTTCATTTCATATACATCAAGCAATTTTCTTTTTTTTTTTCTTAGTAGAATACCGGAAATCGTGCGATATTTGAGGGATTGAGGGCCGCGGGTTATGTAATTGCTTTTAGGTTTGTATATAGTAAAGAATCATAATCTAGGTAGATTTGTAATTAGTTGATTATCAATGGTATAATTATAATATCTTTTGTTTCGTTCAGGAGACATCAAAATTTCCCAATTTAGTTCCAATCCATCTATGTGCATGTGCCCACCTCTGCCACACAATTACCCAACAAAAGGCCCATACGACAGTTACATTGGGCTGTAAAGCTACATTCAGTGTATTTTAGTCCGTCTGTAAGGCCCAAGATATGCCCAATCTTAAATCGTATCGAATCTAGCTCTCAGTTTTTTAACTCGAGCTGCGTCTCTCTCTCTCTTGCTCTTCTCTTTCGAAACCCTCACTCTCTACATATAATAGTAAACGTTGTCGTCGCCGGTGGTCGCTGCTTGTCGGCGATCATAGCTATATTTGTAAGAAGTCTCTGCTTCGCCTGTTTATTTTCTATACAGTTATTCGTAGACCGAATAAGGGCGCGTTTGTGTGTGGGCGTGTGTTGTGTGTGCTTGGGTATGTGTCTCTGTTTATTTATTCGTGAATGAAGTTAATGTGCTGTTTTTTTAATTGAATTATTACCTGTATTAGTTTTTGTTTTCCCTCATTTTGAATACTGTGGTTGTTCTATGACTCTTCATTTGATGTTACACTACTGTAATGATGGGTGTGTATCCGTGGTTTTTAATCTTTTGTATTTTTTTTTAATTGTGGGTAATTGAATTGTTGGCTTGACTATGCTGTGTTTTGTTGTTTCTGAATGTTGAATTTCGGTGAAAATTAGCGAGAAATGCATGTGGTCCTAATATTACCTACTAATTTGTTATGCAGTTTTGACTTGAACTTCTTTTACGAAAAAAAGGTAAAGGCCATGGCTAACGGTCCAGCTCCATTTTCAGATATTGGCAGGCGTGCTAGAGGTAAAACTTTTATGAAGATATCTTTTTCTTATTATTATTATTACAAACGAAGTTGCACATGTAATTTTAGTTCTGCCGCAAATGAGGATGTTGCTTTGGTTATTGGTGTTTCTTAGGTTCATATTCGTTTTAGGTACTCTGTTGGGAATTGTGATTATATCTTGATGAATGGTTTGTTTATGCATTATTTCATGTGTGGTGTAGACTGTAAAGTTGAAAGCATCACTGCGAATATTAATACTCTTGTATGCTAGAAGTTCGATTCTCCAATTTTGATTAACTTCAATAGTATTCGATGTGTAGTATTTAATGCGAGAGAATATGTTGTCTCTGTCATACTTCATGGAAATCTGGTAGGGAAAGAATTTACTGTGAAGTTCTTCTTGGAATATCAATAATGTGGTATTGTTGAATTCAAATATCATTTACTTTGTAATTCAGATAATCCAATCACAAGGAAAATCTCAGTACTTTGACACGTATTTTGGATGTCAATATTGCACTATTCAACTACCAATTATTCTTGTTGTCTTGTCAGACAAGTCCCCTAATTATATGTATAGAAGTTTTCGTGACGCTGTTTTTTAGTTCATGTGTTTAATTCAGGTGCCTCTGAAGTTTACCCCATGCGTCCTCTTACCTGCGTATCCATCTCAATTTGTGTTTGGTTGAGTATTTATAAATTCCTGTTTTCGAGATGTCGCGTTAGTTTCAGTTACTTGGTAGGCCTTTCTGTAGTACTAATTAATGGAATCTATTTTTTTATCATGGCCGTAGTGTGTTCAAAAGGAGACAGGCTGTATGATTGACTTGTGATCTAACTAATCTTTGGGGAGGGGAAAGGTGTAAAACGCAAAAGGGTCTTTTGCTACTACCAACATATGATCCTCTTCTTCTTTTTTTTTTTTTTTTTTAAAAAATCTAAGATTTGTAGATGATTTGATGTTTCTCATCTTAAAAGAACCTAGACGATACCTTCTCTAGAATAATTTGACGATGTATTCATATTAGCTTGCTTCGTGATTATTTGAAAACGAGACAAAAGTAGATGATCAGATTATAGCTTATGAATCTAATTTCTATTATTGCAGTATTTAGCATTACTGGTCATTAAAGTGGTTTCATTCGTCAAAGTTCCTCCATCTTTGTAGTAATTTATATATGCTTGCTTTCATTGCAGATCTCTTGACCAAAGACTACAATTATGATCAAAAGTTCTCCCTCTCCATTCCAAGCTCCAACGGAATGGTATTATGTTATTTTTAACTACCACTTTGTTGTTATTTTTCTCTTGGGACTATCAAACGTTCTATGTATTAAAAGCTGCGTTCATCTCGTCTAGATATAATAAAAGTTGTGCTTCATTCCAATTGAGAAACTGGAGCTAAAACATTTTGTTTTGTTGCTTTATGTTGCACTAACCAAAGTTGAAAAATTATATGCCAAATTATTCTCTTTTTACTGTACTAAATTTTTCTGTATGTGGCACCTTGATATCCCAGTTAGTTTGTGGATTTACAGAGAAATTATCTTTTTAACAGGGACTTACTGCCACTGGAGTAAAAAGGGATCAAATTTTTGTTGGTGACATAAGTACCCAGTACAGAAGTGGAAAAGCTACTGTGGATGTTAAAGTTGATACCTACTCTAATGTAAGAGAACTCTTGCAATTGGGGCAGAGACTTGTCTAATAAATACAAATATTTTATAAATAGTATTATGAACATTGGCAATCATGAAAACTAAATTTTTTAGGCCATCCATTTTCAGGTTTCTACCAAGGTAACATATGATTTGGTGCCAAGCACAAAAGCAGCAATTAGCTTCAGTGTTCCTGATCACAAATCCAGCAAGGTACCAGATTTGGAATTTAAATTGCTGATACTTAGAAATGCTTGTGTTTTGCATGAATACTATGATGGTTGGAATTTATTTCATACTGAAGTTCTCTCATTAAAGCGAGAAGACAATCATTAGTTTACTGAAGAAGTGGAATTAACTTTATATCTGTTAATGAACTGGCTGGGGCTGAGTTCGCTGCAGCCTGCAGTACAAAGTTTGTCGAAGTGCAATTGTCGGGCATCTTAACAAAGACATATTAGTTTACATATTTACATTTTCGTTTGAAATATGAAGATTCTGTCCTTTTTATGGACTCTACTGCTTAACCCTTCCAGTGGCAGTTACATACTTTTTAAGCTTCTAAATAATTTTTTGCTGCCTGACACTAACCTTCCATCTGAGACTTAAATTACAGATTCATTTCTGTGCTAGGAGATTATAATCGAGAGTAGGATTTTCAAGGACTGGAGTAAAGTAAATTAGTCTTCAACATGATATTGAATACTCCAAGTATGTGACCTTCGACAGTGTTGGCCTACTATATGAACACTTTGTGATACTCTGTTCTTTCTATCATTAGCACACAATGTTTGATTAGGGTTGTGTTGGTTTAATGTTTTCCCTTACTGTGCATTTGAGATCACTGGCGAACATGCAGTTTCAGAGTGTGAAATTGTTATGGTACACTTTTTTCGAGATAACAAAATCATGGGTGTTTGTTGTAAAATGCAGCATTACCCTTTTTGTTAAGACCAATGATGGTCAGATTGTGAACCCGTGTCTCTTTGTGTGCCCTTCAGGTCGGAGAAAAGTTAAATTGAAAACAAGTATCACTTTCTGTGCTTAAGAAGTTGATTAGTCTGTTGTATTAATTAATCACCTTTGCTAACATTTTTTCCCCAGCTGGATGTGCATTATCTTCACCATCATGCATTCATCAATTCCAGTATTGGACTGTACCCCAGTCCTCTTCTGGAGGTTGCTGCTGCAGTTGGATCCAAGGACGTAGCCATTGGTGGTGAAATCGGATTTGACACCTCATCTTCCTCTTTTACCAAGTGCAATGCTGGATTAAGCTTCAACAAGCCTGACTTTTCTGCAGCCCTTATACTGTACGTAAATCACTTTGTCCTTCAGCTTGTTGTATGTATTATGTTTGCTTCTCATTATTATAAGCATTGGATGCATGCTTTGCGAATGTTTGGTGATATTGCAGCTAAAGAACTTATCTGCTATTGATCAGTATTTAACCACAGTGCTGAGTGCATATGTGGCAAGGCATGATTGTAAATTATATATGGATACTAGTACCTTCCATGTTTTGCGAAATAATGAACGGGGCCTAGTTAATTTGTGAAACTTTCTTCAAGTAAATTCGACAACTGATTTTGCATGCGCTTTTAGTTCACAGATAATTTTTGGGGATAATTACAAATATCACCTTGAGCTTGTTTAAAGAAAAACGAAAAACCAAGCGGTGTCACCTTGAAGAATTCTCTATAATATTCTGACATCTATTTCTGCTTTGCATAGGCCCTTAAGAGGGGATATGGGTTGTGCAATTACGAAGCTTACCCGGCCATTCTTAACACATTACGATGGTGTATCTATAAACTTTTATGATAGTTGATGTTCCATTTATAATTTGCCTGAGCTTCTATGATGTTATATGTACTATCCCGGATTTATATATTTGTAATATTTAAAGATAACTGGAATCTCAAAGTTAAAAAGGTTACTTTGCATAACCCTTGTTTATCCGAACCAATATGAGCTAAATTTTTTCTCTTTGAAAGTAATATAGCCCCAATTTAATCTAAACTTGGTCTGCACCTTATTGTTCACTTTTTTACATTACAAAGTACGAATACTGAAAAACTTATTTGGTAAATCGAAATAGGACGGACAAGGGACAGACGGTGAAGGCTTCTTATGTGCATCTGGTCAACCCCTTTACGGGGACTGAGGTGGCTGCCGAGATGACCCACAGGTTATCAAGTTTCGAGAACAGCTTCAGCATTGGGAGTGCCCACAAAATCGATCCCTTCACCTCATTGAAAACAAGATTTTCTGACAATGGCAGAGTTGCTATTTTGGGGCAGCGCGAATGGAGGCCAAAATCGTTTGCAACTTTTTCAATGGAATATGACACCAAGGCAGTCAATGTGGCCCCAAAGTTTGGTCTTTCCATTGCTCTCAAGCCCTGATATTTGCTGACTTTTCTTGTGGGCTTTCTGATTTTCATGGATTTTGTTATGAACTTTGGTACGGATAATTCTTTTCACTGCCCAGGTGGTTTCGAACGTCTCCTATACGTGTGTGGGAGATCTGAGTCCTGGTTTTGAGCAGTTACTATATTGACAATGTTGGGAAAATTTGTCTAGGAGAAAAATGCGAAATTGTTGTATATTTGACGCCAACAAGGCAATAATTACAAGTTTTACTATGGATAATTTTGTTTGCTTTTTGCTTGCTAATTTTGTCAGTTTTGAGTTCGATGAAAAATGCTACAAGTACATAATAAGACCTACTCCAACCGATACTCAAAACGCAAAAAATAGGTTAAAATTTCTCCAACCGAACTGCAAAATGAAACCCAAAATGGGTTTGCAGTTTTCTCTCTCATCCCTCAAACGAATATATGTGTTCACTGCAAAAAAATGCGTATGAACTTTTTTATTTGCACTCAAGTCCAATTTTGCAACTTCCATGACATATTACC